AATACTTGAGAATTTAGCAGCCAGAAAATAGACATCAAACTATATTGGATTAATCATTAATAAGTATTTAAAAATGATTTTGTGCCCATTTATTGCTAATTTTGGAGATAAGTAGTTTCGAAAAATCTTTGGGGAAAGTATAGCATAATGTAAATCAACTTGGATAAAACCATCTCTTAGGAACGAAGGACTTAGAATATGAAACAACCATGTGTAGCAATTAGCTCTTTTCTTTTTCCCTGGAAATGCTTTAATTTGGTATTTTCATTGACTTTGACATTTTCAGCTGTATAAATGAAAATTTCTTTCATTAAATGAAAGTAAAAGCTTTGTACTTGAAACATTTTCTTAAAATGAAATCCTTATGGATGACGAGAAAGATTGATTCCAAATATTCTTTCAGGAAGGAATTAGTACTGAGCATATCACAGACACACAGCCCTGTACTTGAGAGCAGTATTGGATTTCATTTTGGTGTCATAATTCCTAAACATGTCAGGAGCATTCCATGAGTAGCCTGGGAAGCAAAAGAACCTGAAGCTAGGTGGATGGAACGAGGGTTAGATTAAGTCAAAAGACCTGGGTTGGAGGCTCAGCTCTGTCACTGACTGACCTGTAACTTTGGCAAATTATTTTAACCCACCGAATTTTAGTTTTATAATTTGTAAAGTCTAGATGCCTAATACAGGTTAAAAAAATAAAAAAATAAAAAACAAAAAACCAAACTCACTGCCATTGAGCCAGATCCGACTCACAGTGTTCCTTCCTTGAGTTTCCGAGGTGATATCATTACAGAAGTAGATTACCTCATCTTCCTTCTAAGAAGTGGCTCATGGGTTCGAACCACCACCTTTCTGGTTAGCAGTCAAATGCCTTAGGCACTACACCACCAGAGTTCCCATACAGGAAAGACGATGTCAAATTGTGTAAATTAGGTCACATTTTTTTCTTAAAGCCTGTATGTTTAGAATACTTATGACTCAATCTGCTTCTTGTCCATCTTCATTATTTTAGGAAGGTTAGTGTTGACAGTGTAGTGTTGCTTACAGTCATAGATCATAAATTTTTTTAGCTTGAGTGAATCTTAGTTGTCATCTCTTCAACCTCTCATTTTCAGTTTAAGCAGATTGAGGCCCCACTGGAGGGGTTGCATTAGTTCACCAGAATAATACTGTAATCAAAGCCTCCGAAGTCCCTTCATACAAGATGTTTCACATCTAAAACTGCATGGAGGAAAGGATCTTTTCATTGTTTTTGATACATTTTGTATGTGTAAATGGAAGAATATTTAAGATATGATAGATCTAGTTTAATTGAAAGGGAAGATGGCTTTCTATGAAGAAAATGAAGGCAAATCTGACAGCTGACTGGTTTCTGTTGTTTCCTCTTCTTTATTGTATAATAAGTAGTTGAGTTTGTTTTAAGTTATTTCTATGGTCCCATTCACTTATATATGCCTCCAGACTTCATGGCTATAGCTATTGAACAACTTCTGTGCCTGCAAGGAGTAAGTTTCCAAGGAATTTTATAATTCATGGCCTTGACGAGGTTGCAGCAGGTTGGGTCAAGGACAACTGGGGAAGTTCTGAAAATGTGAAGCACATGGAGAGGTGAAGGGATTATAGCAGAACATGAAATAAGTGGACTAGGAGGGGGCTTGTGATTGATAAAAGTCAGAGAAGATAAGTGAAGTTGAGGGCTCATTTGCACAGAGGGTCAAATATCAATATAAGAGAGGAGTTTGCTACCATTACTGAAGCAGGGATTTTTCAATCTTTGAAATCCTATGGTTCTATGACCTAGACTTGGCTGCCACAAGACAGGTGCTCAAAATGTTTGTGGAGTAGAACTGAGGGTAACTCCATTTTTAGAGCCTTGGAAGTTTCTGGATTTGATGGAACAGTGTTTTATTAAATGACAGAGAATAAATATGGAAATGAATTTAGTAAAGTGCTCTATTATCACCATCCTACAAAGATGTCTTGGGGGATGCCTTACTAGTCACTCAAAGGTAGTGGTTGACAGTAAGTCTACAAGTCAGGGTGAGGAACATAGGAAACGTGTACACTTGATTCCAGCTCCACTTCTCTAATCACTACAAAGTATATGATCCTCACACATGAAGTGTTTGAAGACTTCCAGGCTCACTTAACCACGTGTCAAGTTAAGTCAATGATATAATGAGTACTGATTATGCTCCAAGCATTGGATAGAACATTACAAACTTGTTCAAGGATATCCAGTCATCACGTTATAAAAAACTTGAGCAATGATGACCTTTATCAGACAGCTTACATTCAAAACCAGAGCATGAATCTAATCATGTATGGAATATTTTCTTTGGATATTGACTGCCACAGTTTAAACATTTCAAGATAACTTTTTCTCTCTTATCATGGAGGCCATTTTTGGATTTGTCTCATTACCAAAAAGTACAAATTAATGTGAAGGTTAACCCAATATAAACATAAATAAATATTCTGATGTGAAACAGCTACTTGGCAAACTAGTGCATAGGGGGATTGTGCATGATTTCTGTTGTAGCATAATGTCCCTCTCTTAGTACAGATATAATAAGAGAAGAAATCTTGTTGAGGATGTTGTTGTTGTTGTTAGGTGCCGTCGAGTTGTTTCTGACTCATAATGACCCCATGCACAGCAGAATGAAACACTGCCCTATCCCATGCCAGCTCCATGATCCCTGCTATATTTGAGCCCATCATCACAACCATTGTGCATTCTTCTTCTTCTTCTTCTTGGAGAGTATAATATGGCTCAAAGTGAAAAAACATGTCCCCCCACATCAAATAGCTATTCAATGACTTAATCATTGGGTATTGCTGGTCTTATTTTAATTCAATAAGTTTTTCTCAACTCCACAAGAATAGACTCCAATGACAATATCTAGAATGTCTACAATTATGGTCAGGAAGATTTTTTTGAAGGTTTACCTTTATCAACTGATCGGAAAACCCCACTGAGATGCAGTTGAGGATATTTCAAAAGTTAAAGTGATAAACTTTTTAGGACACCTTTCCCTATTCACAGAATTCACCTTTATAATAGCAATGAAATTATAATAACAAAGTGACAATTACAGATACAATTTTGGGTTGCTTATTACCCTATGCCAAGCATAGTGCCAAGCATTATTTAGAGCCAATATGGAATATCAGAGTTACAGAAATTAGAAATTAACCCAAGACTTACCCAAGACCTAAGTAAGTGTTGAAAACAGAATTTTAATCCAGGTCTCTCAGATGTCAAACGTGTGCACTTGACCTCTATATTATAATACGTATTTCAAAATTGGGGTCAGAGGAGAAGATATTCTTTTCTTGTGTTCCATTAAGTGTGATAGCTTGCTATATATTTATAACTGAATGTACACATCATACTATAAAACACACGCCAGCCTCTCAATAGCAGTTGGTTGACTAGCTGATTGTCAAGGGGAAATATTGAGATAATTTACTGTGACATAGTAGAAAAGGCCCAGAAATAGAAGCCTGACAATTCTATATAGTTTAAGGAAATCAATTCTTCTCTTAGACCCTTATGTTTGGATGATCCCTAAGGATATTTCCAGCTATATAATTCTGTGATTCTAGGAAACTACAGTCTAAAAAAATATTAATCACAAAGTATATTTGGAGAAAAATATGTATTATGTACATTTTTTAATATATACTGAAAAGATCTGAAGAATGATAGAGAGTACAATTTTGACTCTCAGAGCAGGATCATGTCATTTTCAACTCCAGGGGTCTCTACTGTACTTTTTAGGTCAGTCAATGGGGCCTTAGTTAAGAGTTCTTTCTTTTAACCAGGCCAGATTACTCTAATTTAAACATAAACCACAAAATAGAACTCAGTTTGGAGGTGTTCCTTTACTCCTTTATATAGGAAATTAACGATCACAAAGATTTCTAGATACTGTTTCTATGTAATTTTTTAGATATAATCGACTAAACCCAGTGGATTTGCACTGTACTTACTTTGGGTGAATATGTGAAACAAATGACTATGTTTACTATCTGCAATATATAAAGTTTCCAGCAACAAGGATAGATGTCAACTATCTCTCAACTTGCAAGAATTTAATAAAAACTTGCTTATTTCCCGACATCCTTGAGGTATTGATGCTGGGCTCAGTCCCAGATATCCTAACTACCTTCAACCAAGCCCTTCTACAAGTAAATCTGTGAAAAATGACTTTAGAATGATGACTATGGAAGGAATATAAAAATTAATTATTTCTTCAAGTCTTACTTTTTGAGTAGTGAAATGAGTCCTGGCTCTGTAGGTAGGTATTCAAAGCCCTTAATATGAGGTTTCAGATTTTACAGAGTGATTTCTTGTTACACTCTTTCAAGTATCCCGAGAGCTTATATTTTCCTGCCTCCTACCTTTGCTCATGGAATGTCCTTCTTTCCACCCCCATCTCAGCCTGTTAGAGTCCTATCCATCTCGAATGTCACCTGCTTCATGAGGCCTCCTCTGGCTGTCCTCTGCTCCTGTTACATGTGTTCCTTCTCACTTCCCAGAGCATTTCTGCTCTCTCTCTTTATCTCCTCTCTTTGACACTTATCATATCTTTAGTTGTTTTTTAAGTATTTATTTACTTCTTTAGTCTATGTTTTAAGCATTTTTATCCTTCTCACACACATTGCTTTACATATTGTCTTGAATAATATTCTATGTTTGTTGAGTTCACATGAGCTCACAATTTAGACCAGTCATCTACTCTGTGTGAAAACAGAATGTAATCAGGTCTATGGGAATTTAACAGATTTCCTGACTCCTACTGCAGTATTACTTTCATCTGTATAATCTTTGCTTCACTTTTATTTTTCTGAATGGGTTTTATTAATTAGACTTCATTGTTTCCCCTTTTGAAAAATGAAAATATTAATGCAAAAAATTGCAGAAGTAAAACTATGCTTGAAAAGGAACTCAGCAACATTTGTATTACTCTTTATTTGCAGGAGTACGCAAAGATGTCACTTGTAGCAGTACCTTTCTATCAAAAGAGACACAAACACTTTGACCAGTCATATCGCAATATTCAAACAAGGTATCTTCTGGATGAATATGCAAAGAAAAAGTAAGTTGAAATTCAATAAATAGATTCATAGAACTTTGATTTTAGTCTTTAACAGTTAAAAGCAATAAATGTTTATCCAGTTTCCTGAAACCAAAAGATCAACTGGTTTTGGAAGGAGTCTGGGAATAGAGATGGCTATGCTCACTGTTGCATATTTCCAAAACCAGAAAAGGAATGTGGCTGAGACCCAGGTCGGGCAGCAGCACTCAGTGTGGAGATCTGCAGATTATCCCGGTAGATTCTGAAGTGCTCGTTCTGAACCCCTGGTTTAGATAATGAATGCAGGGATTTTTCTTAGTAAGTACTCATTATTTTACTCTTCCTAACATAACTTCCAGAGCTGGAATCTAATAAGTCACCAAAAATAAAAGACAATGAGACGGAAACCAATGGAAAAGACTCTAGGTAGGGAAAAAGTCAATGGGTTCTAAAGTGAAAATTGAATTGAAGCCAATATTAATACTAATTTTACTGCAATAATAATAATAAATGTAGCAAAAGTGAGTTTCTTCACTGCATAATAGGCTGGTGTCAAGTCCACTTTTCTTTGTGCATGTTTTTAAAGTACACTGTCCTCACAGACCTACAACACATGCTGCACTCAACACTATTTGGAAGCATATCTGGCAATTTTAATTGACTAATTAGAAAGCTGTGCTGAAGAATGAAAGAGATTATTAGGCATGGCATTCTTCAGCCACTTAGATGCCTGCCCATATGTTGTAAACACCCTATATTTAGAAACATTTAATGGTACTGGCATTTAGTTACACTCTTTTTGATAAAGTCAAATGTTTATAGTGCCTCCCAACAATTTCAAGGAGTGCCAAATCCCTAAAACCAAAACCAAACCAAACTGACTGCCATGGATTCAGATCTGACTTATAGCGACCCCTCCTTGGGTTTCCGAGGCAGTATCACTATGGAAGTAGATTGCCCAACCTTCCTTCTGAGGAGTGGCTTGTGGGTTAGAACCACCAGCCTCCTGGTTACCAGTCAAGTGCCTTAGGCACTATGCTACCAGAGGTCTCTCTCTCTCTCTCTAATGATAGCATTAGGCCAGAAGATGCTGACTGACCAGTGAATGAAAATGGCAAGAGCAATAGAGAAACTCAATCTAAGAAAGCTTCCGTGAAAGGATGCAGCTTAGATGATGGGAGGTAGCCTTGGCTTTGCAGGGATGCAGATGTGTGTGTGCAGTGCCAAAGTATCCAATAAGCAAGGTGAGCATGGGCTTACTTGTGCTTATTTACTAATCTGTAGTGATCAATTCCACATTTTTTTTCCCCCACAATGTCAAAGATTCTGCTTCTAGGTATGGCTGGCATCTTTCTCCCAATCCCACAGTACCTTCCTACAGAATCAAAGCATCTCTTCAAATTTTCAGTCTTTGACAAGGAATGAGTATGCAGTAAGCACATTAGCTTACTTGTGCCTATATACTCATCTGTTGTGATTAATTTCACATGGGTTTCCTCACATCAAAGACAAGGTGAAAATCATATGAAATCTGTGAAATTGTTCACTACAGATGAGTTGTTGTTGTTGTTATAGCCGTTGAGTTGGACCAGACTCATAGCGATTCCTCCTGGGGTTTCTGAGGTGGTATCACTACGGAAGTAGATTGCCCAACCTTCCATCTGAGGAGTGGCTGGTGTGTTTGAACCATGTAATTAAGCATAAATAAATCCTCTTTACCTGGTTCTCTGGGTAATTCACCCTCATATATGTGTATCAGGGATTGGGTTTGGGTAGAGTGTGTACAAGGAAGATGACATTACTTATTATCATTTTCTAGTATAGCTTCTAATTTTTTCCAATTTTCATAAAGGCGTGCTTCAACTCAGTCATCCTCTCAAAAGTCCTTTACTCAGAAATCATCTTCCCAAAGAGCATCCAGCCAGACATCTTCTGGAGGAACAGTTTGCAGGCTTTGTGCAAAAAGGGTAAGCACTTCATCTGAAGAGGAAGAACACGAAAAAAAGAGAAGGTAATCAGATTGTACTTCCACATACAATTATGTTATTAAAACTCATGCTGGCCTTGAGATCTGGGAAGGGTCTTCTCCATGGCAAAGGAAGAAGAATAAAGAACATGATTTGAAAGGGCAATTCAGAGAACACTGAAGATAGTATTTTCTTGTAATGAAGGGAATAATGCCACCCGTTTTTATTGCTTTCTTATGTTTTATCACCATTATTTCATTTAATCCTAGTAAGAAAACCATGTGGAATGGATTTTTCCATTATCTTGCAGAAGAGAACATTGAGATTAAGATGAATCACCTATATTGTCCCAGATTACATACCTCATGAATGTCAGAGTTGGGATTTGATCTCAGGTTTAATGACTCTCCTACACTGAAGTAACTACTTTTCCACATTGAATGGTATTATAAGAGCTGAAAAAATTAAGATCTAAAAGTTGGAAATTAATTTGCAATGTCCACCTATGACCTCTTCAGCTATTACTGACTTTAAAGAACAGTTGTGAAGAGTTGTAGACCCAAGCAAGGTCAACTTCTGAAGAGGGAGCCAGGGTTTTAAACAGTTGTCCATGTGTAAACTAAAGAGTTGTGAAGGGGTTCTATAAATTGTCATACTTTGCATTTCAATGGAGTCAGCTCATGAGGGTAAGATGTCATATGAATGAGATGGATTAATAAAAATGCCAGTCTTAAAATTATTTCCAGACCACACACACAAAACAAAACAAAACAAAACAGGTGGTAATATTACTTTGATCTTTTAAGAACATAAGAAATAATTAAATATATTGTGAATACTTCATTTTATGGTACCTAATATATTTTCCCTTCACCTCCACCTATTATTTCTGGAAAGTTTTCTCACTATCTCTGAATATCTTAAAACCTGAAGGAAAAATGAGATAGGGTACACAGATTTCATTTTGAAAGTTATGTTATGACTAAGTAAATTGCTTAATAAAAAACGATATATATAGCTGAAAGGATGAATCCATATTTAAAAAATTTCTAGTTATATTTTAGTGTCTTATGGGAATTTTTCCATGTAATAAATTTTTATTATAAAGTCAAGACCTATTTTGCAAAAGAATCACTTAAAATGTGTGTATTAGAAAAATGTGTATTTTTCTGTATTGAATTAGTTTTAAAAGGATATTATCTGTATTTCAATTTTTGAGATTGAGAGTGAGAAGACTTGAGCTTTATCATTTTTTAAAATCAATTTTACATTAGTGTGACCTTGAATATATCTCATACACTTCTATTCCTCAATTTCTCCACCTTGAAATGGGGAAAGTAAACTTCTATTAACTTGAATGTTCTGGGAATGTATACTACTGTAATTAATAAGATTTCAGCCAAAATGACTTTTGTGACAATGCTGATTGTTGGAAATTATCTAAAGTAAATGAGTCTCCTTTCCTGCAATACTAAATCTAACTCAAGGAAGGTTTTAATTATTTATGACTGATTATCATTTTACAGTGCCTCTCAAGCTCATTTGAAATGTCAGCCACTCTTGTTAAGTGCAAGAGCTATAGATGTGGAAGACATGAGGGACTTTTCTAACTCTTTACTGAGCCTACTACTTGTGCTTTGAAATTATATATTTCTCAGTAAATCTATAATATCTTTTCTCATAACTCACAATGGATATATTCCATATGAAAGATCTTTAAAAAATTAGTTTTTTTTTTTTTTTTCATCTTTAGAAGTAAATCTAAGCAATCAAAGGTTTTGATTAGTTGGGCTGGAGTTAATTGCAGTTTTACTGCAAGATCGACTCTGTTCTTACCATGTAGGAGGGCTGAGTATAAATGAATGAGCACCAGTGTGTAGAGTGATTTGAGCAGTCAAATGAATTCTAGCTCTTATTATAATAATTTACTACTATTGCTAACCTTAAGCTTTATTGAAAGCACTTATTTATTCCTTACTTCCCATGCCAGATATTAGTTTAATGCATTGGACAAATTGGTCCTTTGCGAAAAACGAAGTTGTGGGTTCGTCAATTTGAATTACTGGTTATGTCTTCATGTAACATAAATATTGAAGAAGTATCAGTATGCTTGGAGGGATGTCAGCATGTCTTTCTAGAAGATGCAGAAGATTAGAAATGTCCCTCTGATGCCTTTACTTCTGTCCTAGTAAAAAGATGTGCCTCCTTTAATCATGCTGGTTATCTATGGGCTTGTCATTAAGAGTAAATGCATGATGAATGGCATAATTCTGTACAAAAGAGCCAGAGCTATGGTTGACTGATCACAAATCTGCAGAAATATTTTCTCAATGTATGAATCACAGTATTTGGGATTGGGAAGGGGGCAGGAATTCTCAACGGAATATTTATTCAATATTATAAAATGTTAGAGGATGATGATGCTATTGACTTAAAAATAAACCTAAGTCTCTGGTAAGTAAAATACAAGCGGCATGAAGAAATTCTAAACAACAACAAGATAAGAGTTCTGATCCTTGAAGCTTGCCATGATAATTTTTTCTGTGAATGGAGGTTTGTTTTTTCCATCACTATGTTTCAATAAGGTTCACTGCCAATTAGAAGGATTATTTTCTGCAAAACTTCATGGACACTGTGTTCACTCATTTGTTCAATAAACATTTATAGAACTTCTCCTGAGCACTCGACACTCTTCTAGGTGCTGTGCATATGAAGGGGGGAACCAAACAGATGTTGTCTTCACCTTCTTGAGATTTAGAGCCTAGTAAGTAGAGACAAGTGTTAACCAACATACACATGTTTATGAATAAAATTTTTGATAAATGGTATGTAGGAGGAAAACAAGATATCATGAAGAAAAAAAGATGAGGTTATAATTAGGCATGGAATTAAGGGAAGATCTCGCAAGTAAATAACCTTTATGTAGAAAACTAATGGATAAGTAGGGGTTAGCCTGTTTGGGAGTTGGGAGAACTCCACATTAGACAGAGGATGTGTAGAAAAGCCTGAGGTGTGAGGAGATTTTCTCCTTCAAACAGTTGAAAGAAAGCCAGTGTTTCTGGATCATGTGAGTGGAAGTCAGAATAGTCTGAGATGAGGTTGTGTATTATTAGAAGTAAAGATGAAGAATACATAAATATTTAGTCATGTTTTAGTTTTTATAACTTCTCACCCATATTTCTATATTAAGAAGTTGCAGAATTTTCTGAAATTCTGTGTTAGATTTCAGACTTCCCAAATGACTAATATTAGGTTATGGCTTGATACACTGTTTAAAGAAGTTCTAAACAGTAATCAGAGACTGGATAATGTTGTGAAAAGGCATCGGAAAGGGACTGGGTGTTTTGGAACCTGAGTTCAAGAATAGGCTTTAGTATGTAGTACATTTTGGACAGTATTCTCCTCATCTCTCAGTAGACAGGCTTCGTAAGGTTCCACCCAACCCCAATATTCTAATTTTTAATATGATGTCAACTTAGTCCACCAACCTCTTCAGTGCTCAAGCTTTATGCTGCAAACAATTTTTTTTTTTTTTGGTACATATTTTCCCCTTATGCCTCTTTTTCTTACTAGGTGGCACTATATTCTCTTCCTGATCCCCACCATTCATTAACATCTATCCCCTCGTCCCAGTTTAGTCTACTGAATATTTAATAGGCACATGCCATGTACAGATACTACGTTAACTAATCTGAGGAATGCAAACATGCAAAGTAGCCAATCTTTTTTCCGAAGAAGTTTATATTCTGCTAGGTGATGAGGATGAAAGTATGATAAAACTTACACACAAATTATTGTCATAAAAGCCATAAGAAGATAAAAAGTGGTTTGGAGTTTCAAAGGAAAGTGAAGCAGATTAGCAATAGCATCATGGGAGAGAGTGCTTTTGAGATGGGCATTGAATATTTATAATTTTGATAGGAGGGGATGAGGAAGAGATTTTTCTGAGGCATGAGACAGGATCAGAAGAACAGCAAGAGGCAGCCTAATTTTGCTGGGACATAAGGAGTGCAAAGGTGAAGATGATATGACACTGGAAAAAGATGCCATAGAGTTTTGAGAGCAGTCTCAGTCCCCTTGCTTTGTCAGGTGGGCATAATTTATGTCACTCACAATGATGGCACACTTGCCATAGAGAATGTGTGCATCATTTTTTTTCTCTTATCATTACAGATCAACAAATTAGATTCTTTCACTTTATCCTTTTTATTATTCTAGAATATAAGTTTATTTCTTATCTGTCCTGTTAATTAAAAAGGCTTTAATTCAGTCTTAAATTCAATCAGAAGCTATAGCTTCCCCAGGAAAACAAATACTTTTTATATACTGCCTGGCAAGAGAAAACTCACTCACAGGGAGGGGCTCAGCAATTTCTTAAATTCTCGTAATATATTTGACCTGACTTTAAATGCTTTAGCCTTTATTTTATAAATGAGGAGACTGAATGGTGAAAAGGTTAAATGATTTGCTCAAAGTGTGAGGTCTCTACTGAGCATCAACTTTAAGGGAATTATCATCATGAGCAAAAAAGTTTGTAAGCAATTTCACACTAGTTTTCTTACTACAAGTCCAGTGCTTGTTTTGCTTTGCTACTTGTCAATTATGCAGCAGGTAAAAGAGGAGGCAAGGCTAGGCCCCAAGCTCCCTACAGCCAGGAAAGGGAGGGAGCAGGAGTGGCCTCAGGAACCTCAGGAGTGGTAGGATATCCAGATAAAAAGGGGTGGGAGGCAAGGCAGGCCCCAAGCCCCTTAGAACAAGGAAAAGGCCGGGGACCACAGAGTGGCAGGTTCCAAGTAGGAATTAGGTAAGGGGAGGGCAAAGATGTTTCCAATAGCTAAGGGAGACAAATTTGTCGGTCAGTTTGTCATCCTATGAAGCTTGTACATTGCTGTGAGGCTTGAGACTGTGCCACTTGTGTTTCAGATGCCAGCAGAGTTGCATATGGTGCACAGGTTTCAACGCAGCTTACAGACTAGGAAGAAGGAGGAGGCCATCGACCTCTTGAAAATTGGCCAGGGTAAACCTTATGAATAGTGGAGAAACACTGTCTGATACATTACTGGGAAACTTTATGAATAGCTTGGAAACATTATCCAGCACAGTGCAGGAAGATAATCCCCTTGTGTCAGAAGGCACTCAATATAGGACTGGGAAAGAGCTGCCTCATCAGAGTAGAACCAACCTTAATGATATGGATAAAATAAGTCCTTCAGGACCTCCATGTGCTGACGTGGCATGACTCAAATTGAAGAGAAATAGCTGCAAACACCCATTAATAATCAGAACATGGAATGTACTAAGTAGGAATCTAGGAAAATTGGAAGTTGTCAAAAATGAAATGGAACACATAAAGATTGATATCCTAGGCATGACTGAGCTGAAATGGACCAGTTTTGGCCATTTTGAATCAGATAACCATATGATCTACTATGCCAGAAATGACAAATTGAAGAGGAATGGCATGGCATTCATCATCACAAAGAATGTTTCAACATCTATCCTGAAGTATGATGCTGTCAGTGATAGGATAAAATCAATATGTCTACAAGGAAGACATGTTAATACTACTATTATTCAAATTTATGCACCAACCACCAAAGGCAAAGATGAGGAAATTGAAGATTTTTATCAACTTCTGCAGTCTGAAATAGACCAAACACGTAATCAAGATGTGTCACTTATAACTGGTGATTGGAATGCAAAAGTTGGAAACAAAGAAGAATCACTGGTTCTTGGAAAATTTGGCCTTGTGACAGAAATAACACTGGAGATTACATGATAAAATTTTGCAAGACCAACAACTTATTCATTGCAAATACCTTTTTTCAACAACACAAATGGTGGCTATACACATGGACTTCACGAGATGGAATACATAGGAATCAGATCAACTACATCTGTGGCAATAGGAGATGGAGAAGTTCAATATCTTCAGCCAAAACAAGGCCAGGAGCTGATTGTGGAACAGACCATATTCACTGCTTGTATGCACATTCAAGTTGAAGTTGAAGACAACTAAAACAAGTACACAAGAGACAAAATATGACCTTCACAATATCCCTCCAGAATTTAGAGACCATTTAGAGAATAGATATGATGCACTGAACACCAACACTGAAAACCAGAGGAATTGTGGGAAGACATCAAGAACATCATCCATGAAGAAAGCAAGAGGTCATTAAAAAGACAAGAAAGGAAGAAAAAAACAAAATGGATGTCAGAAGAGACTCTGAAACTTGCATTTGAATGAAGAGTAGCTAAAGCAAATGGAAGAAATGACAAGATGAAAGAGTTGAACAGAAGATTTCAAAGAACTGTTTGAGCAGACAAAGTCAATTACTATAATGAAATGTGCAAAGACCTGGAGTTAGAAAACCAAAAAGGAAGAACACGCTTGGTATTTCATATTGAAGGATTCTATGGGCAAAATATTGAATGATGCAGAAAGCATCAAAAAAAGATGGAAAGAATACACAGAGTCACTGTGCCAAAAAGAACTGGTCAATCTTCATCCATTTCAGGAGGTGGCATATGTTCAAGAACGAATGGTATTGAAGGAAGAAGTCAAAGCTGCACTGAAAGAATTGGTGAAGAACAAGGCTCCAGGAATTGACAGAATACCCACTGAGATGTTTCAACAAACAGATGCCCCTCTGGAGGCACTCACTCAGTTACGCCAAGAGATTTGGAAGACAACTACCTGGCCAACTGATTGGAAGAGATCCATATTTGTACCCATTCCAAAGAAAGGTGATCCCAAAGATTGTGGAAATTATCGAACAATATTATTGATATTACACACAAATAAAATCTTACTCAAGATAATTCAAAAACGGTTGCAGCAGTATATTGACAGAGAACTTCCAGAGGTGCAAGCTGGTTTCAGAAGAGGATGTGCAATGAGGGATATTGTTGCAGATGTCAGATGGATCTTGGATCAAAGCAAAGCATTCCAGAAAGATGTTTATGTGTCATCAATTATGCAAATGCATTTGATTGTGTGGATCATAACAAATTGTAGATAACAGTGAGAAGAATGGGAATTCCCAAGCACTTAATTGTGCTCATGAGGAAACTTTACATAGACCAGGAGGCTGTCTTTCAAATGGAATAAGGGGACACTGCATGGTTTAGAGTCAAGAAGGGAGTATGTCAGGGTTGTGTCATTTCACCATACTTATTCAATCGACATGCTTAGCAAATAATCCGAGAAGGTGGACTATATGAAGAAGAACATGGCTTCAGGATTGGAGGAAGAATCATTAACAACCTGCAATACACTGAATGACAACTTTGCTTGCTGAAAGTGAAGATGACTTGAAGTACTTACTGATGAAGATTGAAGAATACAGTCTACAGTATGGATTACATCTCAATATAAAGAAAACAAAAATCCTCACAACTGGACCTATAAACAGCATTACGATAAATGGAGAAAACATTGAAATTGTCAAAGACTTCACATTGCTTAGTTCTACAATCGACGCCAATGGAAGCAGCCGTCAGGACATCAGATGACGTATAGCACTGGGAAAATCAACTACAAAGGACCTCTATCAAGTCCTGAAGAGCGAAGATGTCTCCTTGAGGACTAAGGTGTGCCTGATACAAGCCATGGTATTTTCAATTGCCTCATATGCATGTGAGAGTTGGACAATGAATATGGAGGACCAGAGAAGAGTTGATGCTTTGAGCTCGCTCAGGAGTGGGTGGTGTTTTGTTCTGCTGTGCATAGGGTCACTATGAGTAGGAGATGACTCAAAGGCACCTAATAACAACAACAACAACAACAGCAACAACAACAAAAGAATCACTTCCAACCCTTAAAATGGCCAGTCTGACTGTTAATGGAGCATGTTCACACTTGGACTACTCATAGAGCTTTTCTGGTGGCGTAGTGCTTAGGGAATTTTGATTGCTAACTGGAAGGTTGGCGGTTCAAACCCATCAGCCATTCCTTGGAAGGAAGATTGGGCAATTTACTGCTGTAGAGATACCACCTTGGAATCCCAAGGAGGGGTTGCTATACATTGGGACTGACTCGATGGCAGTAAGTTTGGTTTTCAGTTAGCAAGTATTTTAATTGTATGTTCTTATTGTCAAAAAGAAATTGGAGCATATATTTCCTAATTAATTTTGCTGATAAATCATTTACATATCCTTCTTATTAAAAATTAAAAATTCACCAAAATGTACTTCTAAAAGAAAAAAGATAAAATAGTAAATATATCTAAGTAGTAGTCTTATATTTTTTGTTGTACTTCACTTATGAAAGTCCTGGGAATGAGAGTAGGACTTTTAATGAACTTGTGATCTTTTCATTATGTCATAAGAATAATGTTGCTTCTTTGATCATGCAGGTACCATTCACTGTTGGCATCTTATGGAGAAGCAAAGCGGGAGCGTTTTCTTAGTGAACTTGCTCAGTCAGAAGAAAATGTTCACCTAGCACGTTCACTTGCTCAAGAAAAGTTGGACAAATATGCTCTTCAACAAATGGTAGGAAAATCTTCATATGCCTTTTTAGATGTGTTGATTGAATTATAAATCATATTTTAATTTTCATCATAATTAATTATCATTAAGCAGATGTAGCATGGTCAGTCAAAGTAGCACTTACTTATGTAGTATAACTCTTTTTATAATGCCCTACCTGTTCTGTCTTGGGGACAGGTGGAGGATAAACTGGCATGGGAAAGGCATACATTTGAAGAACGGATCAATAGAGCCCCTGAAATTTTGGTGAGACTGAGGTCGCATACTGTTTGGGAAAAGATGTCTGTGAAACTTTGTTTTACTGTCCAAGGATTTCCTACACCTGTGGTACAATGGTCAGTATTTTTCTGTTCTCAGGGTTTTAAAAATGCCATGCTTCATTTTCTTTTAGGAATATGGCTACAGTTGGCTAAAATGTACATGTAAAGAAGATAAGAATGAAAGAACCATATGTCATCAAATGTATTCTATAGACAACTGTGCCTGAAACTCTATAAGAAATATGCTTATGAAAACTCATGAAATATCCACTTAAAATAAGATATAGGTATTCTTATTTTAATGAAATTAATCCAACTGATTTCCCTGGATTGTTTTTTTAAAGTAAAAATAAGTTCATTGAAATGATATCTATTTATATGCATAACTGTCACCAAGTTTTCATTTGTATTGCTGCTGGCTCATTCTATATAAACCTGAGTCTATGATTTTAATTATGAGAAGACTCAGAAGTAGGAAGTCTAAACTCAAAAGCTTCAGGACTATAGTGCTATTGTTATGTGAACTTTGTGATAAATGAAGAATTAAATCTTTAAGCCCCACAGACCCCTTTTATCTCAACAACTGTTGCGAAAATTAAAAAATACGTATTTATCTATCTATCTATATATCTGTTTCCCCACTTTCTGGAAGTGTTACTAAAGTTCTCAAAGTTCGTAGTTTGCTATAAAAACAATAAACACTTTCCCTGAAGTCTAAATTGAGACTCAGTGGTAGCCCAGTACAATAAATTCTCAATTCTATGGCTGTTCACGGGGAAGGCTTGGGAGCCTGAAAATCTCTTATTTGGTGCTAAGATTCCAGTAGAGGTGTAGATGTGGTCCTGCTATCTTGGGGGTGGAGCTATGAAGCAGGTTTCATCTATGTGGGATTTATGTGGGATTGGCTTCTGTAGAACAATTCTATTATATCCCAGCTACCCTATAGCCTGAATAGGCTAGTGGGATATAACTAACATTGGTTACATTTTTTATTATGTAATGATAAGTTCTGTTCATAATGGTCTAGTGAAAGTAGAATTTTGGAACACAACTTGTCATAGTTTGAGATAATTTGTACTGTTTCAGTGCCATTATTTTCCTGAAAAAGGAAATGAAATACAGGCTGTGAATCTTTACTACAACCTGCCCCTTCCTCCCACTCACCTTGAGTACTAAGAAGTGAAGTGTGTAGTAGCATAATGATAGCATATTAGAAATTCAATGAAGATGACTGGGGCAAAATGGGAATGAAATTCTGCATTTAACTAAAATAAATGTTTCCTTTGTTTAGGTATAAAGATGGTAGCTTGATTTGCCAAGCGGGTGAACCAGGAAAGTATCGAATTGAGAGCAAGTATGGCGTGCACACACTGGAGATAAACAGGTAAGGCCCTTATGAGTGAGTGTGTGGGTGAGGGCAATGTACTCTGGAGCACCTGGCATGGAGTAATTTACATTTGAAACACAAAAGAAGAGATCAAATTTTAAAAATGGAGACCAAATCACATCATATCTGCTTGCATTGTGTGTGTGATAATTAGTCCTTAATTTAATTGGTGTTAGAAGCCACCCTTCATTTCTCCTTGATTTAGGTCAAAAGAATGCAAAATCCCTAGTTCTTGTCAAGGTTCCCATTGTGGGAACAAAGAGACTAAAAAGCTTAAGGCAAGATAAGGATGTTGTTGTTGTTGTTGTTATGTGCCGTCGAGGTCGAGTCGGCCCCGACTCATAGCGACCCCTCCTTGGGTTTCCGAGGCAGTATCACTACGGAAGTAGGATTGCCCAACCTTCCTTCCGAGGAGTGGCTGGTGGGTTTGAACCGCCAGCCGTCTGGTTAGCAGGCAAGTGCCTTAGCCACTATGCTACCAGAGCTCCCAAGATAAGGATATCTGGGTGTAAATATTACAGTGTAATACAAGAAGATTTTTCTTACCCTTATTTAGCATTGGGGCTTTATTTTGCTACTTGGTTTAAATAACAATCTCTAAACTCCAATTAAACACAACAATTATTATTTTTTCTTACTACAACTTGAAAAACTTGTAACCTGAAAATGAAGATACTTACAGTGTCAGTACTTTGGTGGATGGCTTGTTGTTGTTCTTTTCAGTTATTGTTGAGTAGAGCCCATATGTGCCAGACTTTTGGCCAGTAGTCAAACACTTAGCCATTTGCACCGCCCAGGACTCCTGGTGTATACCTAACATTTCCTTTTTCCATACAAGACACGATACACACACATACACTTTTGTTACTGTAAACATGAGATACTGCTATTTTCTTTTTCTGTTTCTCTACATATGTTTTCTGTATTTTATAAAAAGATCGTAACATGATATAACCCATCTTTTTCTCTTACTAGGCTACTATGAAGGAGCTCTGGTAGCATAGTGGCTAAGGCATTTGACTGCTAACCAGAAGGCTGGTGGTTCAAACCCACCAGGCACTCCTTGGAAGGAAGATGGGGCAATCTACTTCCGTAGTTATACTGCCTAGGAAACCCAAGGAGGGGTCGCTATGAGTCGGTTCCGACTTGACAGCACATAACAACAACAACAACAACAGTCTATTATGACACTTTCCCATGGCTCAACTATTAATTTTTAAAGTAAACGTGAATTCTTATTGTAGTACAATTTAAAAATTAAATATTTGTCTGAGAATCAGAAGACCTAAGTTTGAATACCTAATCTACCATTTGCATGGTGACTTTGGATAAGTCTTTAAATTTTCCTGAGATGTAATATGATTATCTGGAAATAATTATCAAGAGACAGAAAATGAAAAATTATGTCTTCTCTATATGTGTAATAGAGTTATTGTGACAATTAAATAAGAACATGTATGTGAAATCTCCAGAAATGGGACATAATTATACAAACATATGGTAATTTTTTTTTGTGTGTGTGCACACTAGCAAACTAAATTACATCAAATATTTTCTAGGAAAAGATGAGGAATACTGGTAAAATATTGTAATAAATAACACCTTCAAAATATGATTTGACTATTACTAAATGGTAAGGCAGTGACTACATCAGAATTAGGCTCACTTTACTTAGATATAAATGCATCTATTAATTTCCAGAGGGAGCTCTGGTAGCGTAGTGCCTAAGGCACTTGACTGCTAACCAGAAGGCTGGTGGTTCAAACCCACCAGCCACTCCTCGGAAGGAAGATGGGGCTATCTACTTCTGTAGTGATACTGCCTAGGAAACCCAAGGAGGGGTCGCTATGAGTCGGGTCTGACTCGACGGCACATAACAACAACAACATTAATTTCCAGAGATGACTTACACAAATCAGATGTGACAGTAAAATAAATACAAGTATTTATTTTTCTGGCACTTTCTCCAAAGATTCATGTTTATAGTAGAAGTATTTTTTTTTCTTTTTTAATTAAAAACATTTTATACATTAGTTTTTCCTTCCTGGCCTGGGAGAATCTCCAGTGGAAAATAATTTTTTTGCATAGTTTATTTTCTTTGGCTTCTTTTCTGCTCCCTTACCCTCATGTGTTATTCTGCTTCCGACTGCTCATTTTCTCATTCCATTTACTGACTTCTTCTCTGGGGCCAAGGAGTGAGCCACCTCTGCCAATGCTACATGCCTCATATTCCCATGGATGGTATCTGCAGAGTGGTGTCTTGAGTATTTTGCAGTTCAGGGTGGTGGCACATTAACATGGGGCTCTCTTTAGTTTCTTCTGTGCATAAGCCCTAGCTTCCTTCTTAGCACATAGAAGTCGATTTGTCATGAGCCTCAGTGGGGCCTGGAAGATTTTTCACTACCGGAGTCATTTTTCCATCTGCAGATTCGTTAGAAAAAGGAGTTAAGAGATCATAGTTAAGATTGAAGTTTGCAATGAGCTATTAACCTGTTTCTCTATGGACTTATGAGACTCTTTAGGAAAGCTTGAGGACTTGATCTTCTGGCCCTGTTCTTTCTTAGGTTTATTTATTCTGCTCTTATTATGGATGACCTATTATGTGCCAGACAATGTTCTGGATACTTGGGACACATCAGTAGCCAAAATCAAGATTCCTGTCTTCAAGGCCTTACATTCTTGCATTAGAAGATGAGCCATACTTAAATATATAACTGAATTATATAGTGAGTCGCAAGGTGCTGAGTACTGGATAAGGGGAATGAGGACTGTATGATGTGGTTGGTGGTGGGGAGGGTGTGGTATTAAATAGGATGGTCAAGCTAGGCTTTCATTGAGAAGATGTCACCTGAGCAATGCTTGAAGGAAATGAAGGAGTTAGACCCAGAAATATGGGGGGGGGGGAGTGGGGAGGGCTTTCTGGGCAGAGGGAGAACAAAGCCTCTAAGACGGTATATGCCAGGCACTATGAGAGACAACAAGAGGGCCAGCTTGGCTAGATCAGGTTGGTGGGAGTATTAGGTCATGGGTCAGAGAGGTAGCCAGAAATAGTGCAGATAACTTAGGACTCTGTAGGCCATTGTTAGGACATTGACTTTTACTTTAAGGAAAGGGCAAACTATTTTGAGTTAAGCATAGAAGTGAATAATATGACTTACATTTGGAAAGAATCACTGTGATTATGCATAGACTTCATGGGCAGAAGCAGGGTGCCTATTGGGAAGCTATTGCTGAAATTCAAAAAAGATGATGTGGCTTGGACCAGGTGGTAGCAGTGGAGGTGAGGAGATGTGGTTGGATTCTGGACAGATACTGCAGGCAGAATCAATAGAATTTGTTATGGATTGAATGTGGGGTGTTAGTGAAAAAAGAAGAATCAAGAAAGTTTGGGTCTGTGCATCAACTGACCTGAGGAAGGCTGTGGGTAAAACAGGATAGGTCTCAGTAATAAGCTCAGGTAGGCTTATGTCAAGGGTTGGAATTCTTTTCCTCTGTGGAGAGCCAGTTGAATAACCTATGGCCCCTCCCCCCTTCTGCAATTTTCAGAGTAGTTTTCTTCTTTGATTTCTGAAATTTGTAGAAATTTTAATAGATAACAAGCATAATATGTAGAAAGAGAACACTTACCATCATTTTGACAAGTGCATTTAGTTTTAAGGAGGCTTGTTTTCTGATCTAGGATGTGTTTCTACTGTTTATGGTTAAGTAGGTCAGTCTGAGTTTGAAATTAGCTTGTTTTCAAGTTTTATTTTAATAAGGAATCTCTTTCCCTTTCTCATGTTTGAAAAAATATATTCACACTTGTCAACTTTTAAACTTTATATTGGGAATATAGAATCTTTGAACACAGTGAAGTGATAAAGCAAACACAGTTGGTTAAGGGGCCCCAGTATATTAAGGATCTAGGTCACCTTTGATATACTGGATTTTACATGAAGATGCAAATAATAAAGGATATTGTCAAGACCAACTTTTCTATCAGTACTTTGAAACACATTTGGATGTTTTTTAATAGATGAAATATTAATATTCTCCAGAAAAAAAAAAAGCAATGGGGAAAGCCCACAAATTAAACTCATCTCAGCTGTTCATACCAAACTGCTGAGCTACATATCATCTGATCTGTGGCCATTTTAGGTGGTGTGGAATGTGTTGGCTTCTGCTTTCTTGACTGGCACAGGAATGAGCTTTTCCTTTTATTACTAGAGTGACATTTATTCCTATGAATATTCTTTGGCTGCTATAGCCTAATTCTTGTAGTGCCAAAAAGAAAGCTTACCCTTTGGTACTGTTTAAATTTAAAATGATAATTGACACTATTTTAATGCTCATAGATTTTCTCTTGGGACTCGTAATGTGAGTTCTAGTCTTTAAAGACTTTTTATATTGTTCTCATATTTTCACAAAGGTGTTTAAAAGAATCAATCTTGTGTTTTATTAGTAACAGTAGTACTTCCTACCCTCCACTGCTTTGCAGAATGATTTTAGGGCTAAAAGTTTCATGTCTTTTTAGACTTTACTGTTCAAACTCTGATTTGAGATATTTTTTAAACCCAATGTTTAACTCACTTATAATTTGAGAATGTTGAGCTTTGATTACCCATAACAAATTTATTTGCTTTTAACTTGTTATCTTTTGCCTGTCCATCATTAAAAGGGATAAAATCTTCTTGCTTTCTTCCATGTAGTTGCTTTGGAGGCACTTCAAATTGAGAAGTTGTGATGCACATGTGCCTGATGGAAGTTTGTAAAAATTGAGACCAAAGAAAACTATCTCTGTCTATTCTGGGAACTTGTCCAAATAGAAAAAAATAAAACCCTTTGCTTCTTAATCAGTTGCTTGCAAATTCTCTCAGCATGAAGTGAAGGCTAGAATTAGACTCTGTGGGTTAGCTAAATGCATTGGGAGAGAGACTGAGATATTAGAAAGGAGAGGAAAAATGGAATCCTTTTGGGAGTAGTAACACATGCAGGGAAATGTATCCAGTCTCAAAATT